ATCAGAGCTAAGTGGAAAGACAGTGGTGGGAGATTTAGTGTCAATGCAAAAACACTCCTATGTGGTAAACAGTTGATTTTCCAACGAGCACAGTATTGGATTGACTCAACTGTAGAAAACAGTTACTCGAATATATTCTGTTTTCAGTTATTCCACTGCTGCTCTTCACTGTGGATGCGGCATCGTGGAATAATGCCATGTGGCTTGTTAAAAAACAAAAACAAAAAAAGTCATTTCCTGCTTATCGGGCTCAGTCCCTCAGCACAGCACCATACCAACTGTCACTGTCTGCAGAGCAAATGTTAGCACAATTCTAGCTGTGGGATGCCAGCTATAAATAGAGCACAGGAAGTCATCCAGGAACAAAAAACAAAAAAAACAAAAAAACGTCTGTGCTGACTTATATTTTGAAGCATGTAATGATGCCTGCCCGCAAAAAAACCCCCGAAGCTAATCCTATTTAATTCTCTGGACACTTCTGAGGACAAAACATGCCTCTTAGAGTTGAGGAGATAAGGTTGTTTTACTGCTGCACATTATGTGAGGACGTCGGTTTGATCCTCTTTAATTAATGATTCACATGAGTCTGCAGAGGACGGTTCCTGGTGGGAAGGTTGAGGCCGATGTTTTGCATAATGGCTGCAGTCAAAGTCAATTAGCATTCAGGACGTTACAGGAAAAGCTTTTATCAAGTTGGGATTGTGTTTTTAAATCGTGGGTTATCACTCATGCTTACTTACCATTTATATGCTGCCATTTTTATTGAATCATTATATTTCTAAAGAATTGAGCACATTTTACATTGAGATAATGTTGATTTCATTTGGCAGTGTAAGATTGTAAAACCACATAATTTCATTCATGTGACAAATCCACATTTCTTCCCTCGTATTCCCAGTTCAACTTAAACAGCTTCCACTTTGCGGAAGCTCCATTTGTTCAGCCGTGCATATGCTAGATAACTTCCGTCATCATTATGATTACCAGCAGATACTGTTTGAAGTGAAAGCGATTAATGAGGGGTGTTGGTGAAAAGGGGGATTAAGTTGAAAGATCCACACCAGCACTGACTCGTTCAAGGAGCTCTGGGGCAAATAGTTGATGCATGAACCTTAATTATTTTTCACTTCAGAGATATTTTTTCTAAATGAAATATAAGCTTGAAGGAAATAGTACGGAAGCTGGATGACTCCATCGTGCCAGAAAATAGACAAAAATGCAATTAAATCCCTTTTATGGTTCTCAAGCATTAAATCGTGCTTACGTTGATCTTTTTCTGACAGTTTTCTGGGGAAGAAAATAAAAAAACATCACGTGAGGATTTTGAGTTAAATCAAAAATCGCCTTAAAAAAGGCTCTCAAGAGTTTTGTCTTCAAAGTTGCAAATGACAAGGTGGTGGAACTTGTTGGTTGTTCCAAATAAAAGAACATGAGAAACGGCAAGTGAAGTAGAAGAAAATGACATGAAATGAACTGGCAAACAACACTTTACAGTATAACGAATGAGTTTTAGCACTGGACTTTCATCATGATTAATAGATTCTTGCTAAAAATCAAACCAACAAGTTGTTAAGCAGAGAGATCCTTTTTTCACCATTCCCCATATCACAGAGCCAAACAATTGTTTTATTTATTTAAGATTTGTAATCAATAAAGTAATCAGTGAATTTCTACGGAGGATGGGACATGGGCCAAGAAAAAAAATCCAAACAAATACTTTTTTCTCTTTCTTTGACATTGAGGTCTTCTTTTCTTGACATTTTCACAATTTTTACTGAATAATTCATCGATGATGATGGAAAAAAAATCCGGCACATTTTGGGAACTGATATCTCTGAGTGTGAGTACTTTGCTTTGGCCTGATTGAAATCAAGGTTGACTTTTGAGCCTTGGCAGAGGAATGCGCTCTTTTCAGAGCCATTCATGTTTTTACCGGATCCACACTGCCATTTGTTAGGATTTGCCCTCCTTTGTTTGATGTGATAATGATTAGAACATTTGGGTGGTAATATTTCCAAATCCCACAGTATGAGGTTTTGTCTTTGTCTCATGGGATGCCTAATATTCAGGTCCAGAGGTGGGAGTTTTGAGTTCTGCTCCAGTTCCGAGCGCAGCCGTGATTTGTGGTCTGTGATCTTTGTTTGATGCCAGGCCAAGGTGTTCAGTAATGTAATTTACAGGTACCACCTCCATGTCCCTACAGGCTTAGCATCATAAGCTGTTTGATTCCCATGAATGTGTTTGTTGTTATTGATGTTAGCAACATCTGATGCATATTGTACTGTTGCTCTCTCTCTGATTAAGAGGGTTCTGTGGAACATTAGAATTAAGAAAACGGGAAGAAGAGTGAGAACTTGAAAAAAAGGGCAAAGCTCTTCTTGATTGCCCCTCAAGGCAGAGTCAGAACCCCCCTACACACACACACGATCCCAGCTCACTATCTTCCCTGAATGCGCGGCCTATTTTCCCTGTCAAGGTGGTGTCCTAGATTCAAAGTTCCATCACATGAGTAAAACAGTATAGTTGAGAGAATGTATTAAGAGGGAAGTGGATGATGGGAATATCAAGCTGAATATTTCCCTTCTCAAATGTTGTGTATGCGGAATATTATTTAAAAAAAGATTTGTGCAAAACCTCCTCAGAACGTAACTGACCTGTAGGGAAAATTTGGAACGCCTAATATTGTGTCCCTGGAGAAAACACATATTCTAAAAGCATTTCCACCCCCCCAGTGAGCTTATGCATATGCCCTCTCCTCTCTGCATGGTGCCTGTGCAAATATCTGTGCGTTCCTCTTTATATTATTAATTAACGTTCAGCGTAGGTGTTCCGCCAGAGCAGAATTCACCCGGGTACGATTTTAACTCCTCATTGCAAATTAAATTACCGAGCGCGGAGCTCAAAGAGACAGCTGGTAAACGCTTCATGTAGCTGAAGGCGTGCGGCGCACATGGTGCCTATTACACCACAACACTCACTTCCCTGAGTCAGCTCAGATACTGCGAAACGCTACACAGGTCAGCTGTTTGCTCTCCAGAGTGTCGAATGTTTCTAACTTTATGTGAATGCACTTGAGCCTCGGGACGAGAAAATGCCATGAGTGTTTTGAGTGAGGATAATGGAGTCTGTGCACTTACAGAGGGTGTGAAAGTGTTGCCAGGCATCAGTTTAAGAAAGATGCAAATGTCATCAGCGCACAACCTCAGCCTTGTCCTCCCTAATCATGTTATGTGCTCTTTAGTGGCTTTATCCATACTACTACATTTTCAACATCCACGTCGTCGTTTGCAAACCGAAACAGAATTGATAACGTAGTGCGGATAGCCTAATTTAAATCACCTTGACTTTGCACAGGTCACAGATGTCGACCTTTACTCCGGCCTCCCAGAGACTGTTCCGACTGAGTGCACCTCACTATTTCCTTAAACGTGTTAAAATCCAATTAGCCTCCCTTCGCTTGTTCCTGTCACTCTTATCAGTCCCAGTCCCTCTGCACACTCGCATAGGATTTATTAAAAATTTAAGCCCTCCTCCTTTATGAGGATAATATATTGGAAACCCTGCAGCATCAACATGGAGCTCTTTAATAATTCATGTGTGTAGCCTGGTGAAGACACAACATGGACTGCAGCACTTTAGCTTTGTATCTGTGTGACAGTTTACACTGTGCAACCCTGCAATAAAGCCTTGGACCTGGAGTTGTTGTATGAATGTGACTGGGGACAATCCAAACTATACTAGAATATAAAAGCTTTGTTTATTTATAGGGTGATTTCTTAATTTCGGTCTTATTGTTCTGATGTTGGCAGTTTCTGTCCTCCATATACTCCATGTATTGATTGAAAACTTTCCATTGGACTTGAGATTCCTGTGATCTTAAATATGCACATTGTCATTAAAACCAGCAGCTTCACCCCAAGCACACTATTTATTTAAAGGATTTCGTTTGTTTGTTTACCCCATTGTTCTCTGTCTACATTTGCTGTCTTAACACTGTTCACACTGTGAGAGTATAATTTGAAATGTAAACCGAAATGATATAAATTTATATACATAATTTTTCTTTTGTTTGGCCTTATTAATAAATGCATCCATTTGTGTATCCTTTAAATTACAATAGAAGGTAATGAAGCTGTTTGTCTGTGATGTTCAAAGGATTGAACGCACAGTGAAGTCAGAGTGAAATTCTTCTCCGGGGACGCTGCAGTCTCCCTGATCTTATTATTCCCTTCATGTTGTCCTGTGGCTGAACTTGACCTCTGACCTCCTGTAGGGAGGAGAAACAAAAAAACTAAATTCCCTCATAGATCAAGAGGAAAAAAAAGTGCACAAACCCACTGACTCAAAGCGCACCTTCCATGTGACACAAAATAACATGCAGCTCTCACCCTTAACTGTCATGCACTTCTCATCCAGAACCGTCAGAAGCAACAAACCATTGAATCCACCGTGCACCTTCACACTCACGTGTAATAACATCAGCTGTGCTCTGTGGGTTTGAAGCTGCCCCCGCGGCGTGGCTGAAGATGAGTTAATAATTCAGAGTTGTTGGACGCGGCGTAACGGGGACGGTGTTCTCTGCTGTTCGCCTTCACAGCTGCATGGGGCCTGCCAGTGACAGATGGCTCAGCCCATGTGGAGCGTTTGGTGCCAGTACAGCCGAGTACAGTGTGTGTGTGTGTGTCTTTCTTCCTCTCCCCCTTTTGCTCTTTGTCAATCTCAGTCTCTTATTATTCGGTGTTATGAGCATAGAAACATCTGAACACAGGAGAAAACTAAACAAGGCACCGCTTCCATATTATGTGCTTTTCTTTATCACAGCAGACTTTGGTGTTGAAGTAATGCTTTGAAGTGAAGTGCTGTGGATTGAAATTAATGAATCATGTTTCACTTATCGTCTCATCAAGTTTATCTCGGAGTGTGTTTTCTAAGTTATTCCCCTTCTGCCGCTCCTCTGCAGGGTGTCCAGGTGTCTCTGAGAGATATTTTAAGATGTCTGCATGGGCACAGCCCCCCTCCCTGTCTGCAGCAGTGAGCTAGAGGACAGGTCGGAGCTACTTGTTGAAATCACAGCAACAGCGGGATGTCGGTCTGTTCAGTCCATCAGCACCCAGCTAATTCTGGGTTTTTCTGGCAGAGGTTCTTGCTATATGCAAATAATGGATGTCAACAAAACTCTCTTCAATCTCAGTGGATTTGAGGATGAAGGATGGATTCAAATTCAGAATAACAGGCACCCACAATATCCACAATATGAGGTTGAGTCAAGGCCCTGCAGTCTTTGGGTCTTAATGCACATCCCTCCTCCAAGGCTAATGCCCTTTCTCGCCATGTCAAAGCAATGTTTCATATTAGTTATCTAGACTGTGGCGGCTCGTCATATTCTAATTTGTCCTGCAACAGTTTCCTAATGAGCTAAAAAAAATTCTACTTTATAACAACACAAGTCTTCTCTAACTTGGTGGGGGGGGGTTTTTCTGTTGCTTCTTCTTTTTTGCTCAAGCATCACTATTTGCTGCAGGAAAGTTGATACTGTCCAAGCAGACAGTCACATGGGAATGAATTCTGTTGGAAATGCTGCAGAGAAAGTGAAACAAAAGTCCTGGATCTGCCCATTTATTCAGATCCGCACCAAAATGTAATGGGTTCTTTCCTGTGCAATAAAGCATCCTTTCACAAAGTGTCATGGTAATTTGTCAAGTAGCTTTTGCATAATTCATACACTCACTAAAGTTGATCCAAGTATCCTTATCTTAACTTCCAGTGTGTGTGTATTTTGAACTGTCACTCTTGCACAAGTGTAAGAACACAAATTGAATTCATTACATCACAGAGAATAAGCTAATTCTGAGCCGGGAGTTGTACACACTGATCTGTTATTTGAAGCCATTCATCCAGAAGTATTTATAAAGATAGTTATCAGCTACATGGCATTTAGGTGAATCTCTCTGTCTTTTTGTCTCATCAGAGCTGCCAGAGAACTGGACGGACACCAAGGAGACGTTGCTGGAGGGGATGGTGTTCAACGTGAAGTACCTGGGTATGACACTGGTGGGGCAGCCCAAAGGAGAGGATATGGCTTCAGCTGCCATTCACAGAATCGTCACCACGGTGAGTCACCGCTCCCCTTCTGACTCGAATAACCTTATAACACATGATATTTTACTCTGCCATTTAGAATACCTGCTTGGCTTGTGCACGGTGTTTATTTAAATTCTTATGCAGCACTTTATTTCCTCCATTCTCATATATGCAAACAATCATGTCTAAGATTGTGTTGCCCCCTCATTAGCAACATGAAATTTCGAGGGTGACATTGTGAAGATTTCAATTACAGCTGTGCTTTTTATAGAAATTCTCCTGTGGGTTTCACAAATTACAGCCTCAATGCACATTATCTGAATGACTTAAAGTTGCACATCCATGACGACCCATGATAATTTGTTTTTGGGACAGATATTGGCAAACTGTTGCACCATATCTACAGTATATATATACAACTTGGAACTTGACTAGAAAAACACTATATAAATACAGACCATTTACCTATTTTCCATAAACTCACTACCGAAAATACTCATTGAAGTGGTGAATTCCTGCAACTTTCTCTAATTCTCTTGTCAAGTACTTTCAGTGAGGTCATGTTTACATAAAGGTCAGTGTGGCCGCATGGGATCATAGCAGCTAATCCAGGATTATCTAGATTTGAACACTTGCGGCAGTCAGATTAGTGATATGATGTTTATTCAACAACACTGAGCCACACAGACTTTCTAAGCAGGGTTTTCCACATCAATTCAGAATCCTGTCAATTCACATGACACTTCAAAAAAACTGTAAACTGCCTGTATATCAGCTGGTGTGTGGCTGACAGAAAAAATTAATCATTTTCTTTTATGTTTTGCAAATGAACGCATGCGTTATATTCATGTGTCTTCCCTTCAGGCACACACGCACTCACCTATTCACCGAATGCTGCCAACAATAAAAATGTCTGATCTGTGTGAAGCCTTTCTCTGCAGAGAGAAAAACCTGGCACATGCAGCGTAATCACAAACCCCCTCATTTCTCAATTACGCGCTGAACCGAACCCAATGGCAGCATTAAGATTCTATTGATTTACAACAGGACAGAAGAAGAAACTCCGTTGTCTCTGTCTGTTCCCTTGGAAACCAATCAACCTGAATGGGACGGCTGAATACGTTACGATAAGACAAGACAGAGGGTGCAAACGTATATAGAGGCAGGCTGAACTCGGCGTATCTCCAGCTGACAGATTGGTTTTTGCCTTGTGGCGTGACACTTGTAACATAGCGGCAGAAAATGTTGCACCAGTCGTTAGCGCTTCCCACATGAATGAGCTGCCACATTCAGGCACGGCACCGCTTTCCCTCGCAATTTCCCTCATTTCAAGTGATGTGCGTTTAAGGAGAATGTGCGTTAAGGAGAATGAGCATGTCTCAAGGGGCTTTAGGCTCCTACAGAAGGCCACAGTACCATGCTGTCCTAGTTTTCATTTAAACAAAGATCCCATTTGATCATCTCTATTTTAACCTCCTGCAAGTGAGTTCTCGTGGAAGCTGAAATCACAATTTCCCTCACCCCCCCGTATTCCTTCAGTCACTCCACCTGATGTCATTTTGGTGTGAAACTAAACTGCTTTCACTAATTTCATGGTAAGGAGGTCACTGTCATTGTCACCAGGGGCTCTCACAGACCGCAAGCTCAGCACTTCGGCTGTAATTTCTGAAAGTCCAGATGGAGCAGAGCTGGCAGGGGGAGTTGGTGGCAGCCAGCCCGACCTCGAGCACTCATTCTGGGCTACACATGGCAACCCTTTCCTCCCCTGTTCTCTCACATTTTATAAATTCCCTTCATTTCTGGGACAACACATGCAGGCTGCCTCTTTTTTGCTCGGCAGCTACTGTCGCTTTTGAGGGTTTAATCAAAAGTGAAATCATCTCGTATTATTGTCAGAGTGAAAGGCTGGCTCTGTCTATACCCAAGGCAACATATTCCCCATGTGATTTTAACATGTTTATGTTTGTTATTACATTTCACGCTCACAGGCCAGAGCCAGTGCCAAGAAGTTTCGGAAAGTGACCCTGACCGTGTCACCGAAAGGCATCGTCATCACAGACACAGAGACGACAGACCTCATCGAGAACGTCTCCATATACAGGTACAGGTCTAGCGAAGGTGGCTTCGTTGTATGCATGAAGACAGTGATATCATCTATCTAGGTCACTTTCCCCTCTTTCCATTGTTTTGAATTGTTTTCGTAACTAAACCTCGGTTGTTATGAGTCTCCTCTTTGATCGTTTCACTCCAATAACAGGGAGGGGGCTGCCGGGCGTGTCTCTTATTGTCTCCATCAATGTAAACTAACCTTTTCCAGCATCGTGCAAGGTTTCATTCGAATAGATCAGTGTGTTTGTACGATATGTTCTACTGGCCTGAGACCACCCTGTAACATAGACCGGGCCTGGTGTCATTGAGGATTACAGTCTAAATATCAGAGCGCTGGACTGTGATTACAGAAAAGGCTGCAATGAGGATGTGTGCGCACAGGTCTGCATCTCCCTCTCATCCACCTTATCAGCGGTAGCAGACCACCGGCCAGGGGAATCAGCCTCATCTTTGATCTCCCCTCTCCTTATCGTTCCCTCCTCTTCCTTTCCCGGACCTCCTCACTGTGGAGCACCAAATCTTTCTGCTCATATTAACATCGTCGGGGCTCTGAATGCAGGAATACCCACGACTAATTGCTCGCTTTGAAGCTCACACAGTCTTTGCTACCACCCCCCCCCGAGTAATGGTACAGGAGAGATTGAGGGGCCACATACAGAGTCTGGGTTGACTGAGGATTCATTTATCCCCTTTATGAGACCCTCCCCACCCCCACCTCCTCCTTAAAGCTCCTTTCCCCCTCCTGCCCCTCCTTCCTTGTATCTTATTTTTGTTGCACATAATCCATTTATTGGCCAAGAAAGCAAGTGAGGGGTGAAAGACAGTGGAGAGCGGATGTAAGAGAGTGGATCAAATTGGTCTCTGTTTATTGTGCTAACAAGTAAGGGAACAAAGAGGCAGCTGACAAAGGTATGAGTAAATGTGTGCACATACGTCCAAGCGTGGCTGCAGCACACATGGTGTGTTGTGTATGACTGTGTGCATGTCTGGTTAATTGTGTCTCCACATTCACTGGAAACAGAGCTGTGTTCCTCAGGGTTGAAAACGGACTGTAAGGCATATTGTGCACGATATTGGAAATGGAGGTTAACCACGAATTTACACACACACACACACACACACACCTCCCTGCTCACACCCAAATTATATCATACTTATCAGTGTTCAGTTTTAAAAAAGCCTGCATGTTAAAGTTCTTGACGGTTTTTCAGTTTAAAAGCACCAGGCACTGATATTATATTGTGAGCTTGATCTTCCAACTCAAGTCAAGTCTACTTTTGTTATGCTGCATTGAAAAGGAATCAGCCATCACCATCTCCAAACATGAGGACAGTCCAGCTGAGGAGGCCAATGAAAGGAATCGAACAGAGAAGCATCACAAAGTTCTTCGGCAGAGTTATGAGGAGAATATCTGGATGGAAACAAAATGAAGAACAATGTGAACAGGCCAAGTTCTACTAGTTGCCTGTGGTTATGTCGACTCCCACTATTGATAAAGTAACATGGTCTTAATCCTTAATTGCCTTCTTATACAATCAGTCTGTGTTGTTTGTCCTTTTAGAAAATCCCCTATTTAACATTTCCTAGAGAGCAGAAGGTTGTGAGCGTGTTCAGGTTCCTCTCTGATTCTGATTGAGATTCCGACAGCAGCTCTTAGTAGCCGAGCAGCATATCAATCAGCCAAACCCACGAATCAGAGAGTGAGGGCTGCAACGCTGACTGACACTCCACCTGCTAATGATGCACGCTGCCCTGACATGCCATCAGATTTGTTAGAGACACCTCTGCAGGATCTCTAAGCCGAGGACGCAGGAACGTGATCGCGCTGCTCGTGCACACACATGCAAATCTTTTTGACCATCTCTGTTAGCATGACAGACTGCTTCTTTACTTTTTCACAAAACAGTTTTTGACAACTGCTGTTTTTCATGATTGCGCTTATGTCTGAGTGAAAGTGGAACAAAGGCAGCCCATTGTTGCAATAAACAGCCTGACTGCTTTATTCAGTGAGAACCTTGATGTGTGAAGTTCTATTCAGGCCGTACTGTAAATATTTAAATATTTCCATTGATATTCCCCCGTCTTCCTCGCAAACACGTCCTGCTCGATGAAGTGAGGAGATCAAAGGGGTGCGGTCCGCAGAGCCTCTTTGGAGATATGATGCAACCTGACAGCTCAGCTTCTGTTGTTAGTGAAAACTCTGTGATGCTGTCAATTATTTTTTTTTTCTCCTGTTGTTTCAAGCTCAGGGCTTATCTCGTGAATGTGAGCCATTGTTCGCCACATCGCAGGCAAAGCAATAAAGATGTTATTTTTCTTTCTTGCAGTAGTTGAGAAGAAATCTGAATTCCCAAGGATTCTGTTCTTTTGGCCTTTTGTTGACTAATTATTTGTATTTGGCAAAAAGGTTAAATCTTAAAATGTGTGTTCACTCCAATGATGTTTGCAGAGTCTTACATGAATTTACACATACATATAGATAGATACACTCTTATTCATCACGCTGCTGCTGTTTTTAAGGGGAGATTGGGTGTGTTTGCAAATTTCATAATTAAAATTTTGCCTGCCAGCATAACATAAACTTTTACAAATTAAAATGTAAGACAAAAGTGCTACTAATTATAGTACTACACTACACTTCTGATATAGATGTCAGGGAAAGCGATAGCCTGTGTGTACAAATATGTAAAGAAAAAAGAAAAATCTAAATCAAGTGACATTTAAATAGTTTTTTCCAATTCCAACTTCCTTATTGCCTTTAACATATCTAAAACAATGACTCTTTTATGACACATCAGCTTCACTTTTGCTTGAGTTACTGCTTTCATCACTAAATTTACTTAGTATTGTATTATTATGACTCATGCATACAGCACAGCTATTAATATTCTTGAAAAATAAATGTGCAGAAAAAACAAAATACAAACCCACGGAGGCCTGAACTATGCAAATTCCATCAAATAAGTCAACATTTAATCAGTTAAAATAAAGAAAATAAAGTAAATATATGATAATTGAATTTATATTAAAACAGTCTGTGTTGTTTTTTTCTGAACCTAAATAGGTCAACCCCATTAACTTCTTCTCTGCTTATATTTTATGCAATTAAGGCTCAAATATGAGCCCGAATGTGGGGGTTGGTGTTGGGGGTGAGTGGGTGGGGGGTGTCCTGGGCATTGCTATGTGGGTCATGCATCAGTGGTGCAAGCCAGTAAACAATCTGAGAGTGAGATGCGAAGGCTGGTGAGTTCACGCTCATTGTTTGAGCAAATTAATTACTTCCTTTTTAGTGCCTCTTTTGATGTCGGATGACAGGAGAGTGGCTGCTGTCCACGATCCCTTGCTGCGCACAGTTTACAAGTTACTGTAACGATTATACACTGCTGACCTCAGTCGTGTGGCGTCTTCCTTCAGTGATGATGACGACCTTGAATATCTAAATCTACCTACTCATGAAATCCACAACCGTCGGTGTGTCTGTCAGAGCTTTTATTTTGAAATGTTCAGCTTTGTAGGTTGTGTGATTTGCTTGACAGACCACTGAAGTTGCCAGCATGCAGCGGATGAAAAATAAAACTAGTTCCAGTAAATCATTCAAACTTACACATGAACAACACATGTGATGAGAAATGAAGCAAATTCAGTTTCATTTGATGAAAAACAGATAAAACCATGTAGGACGAACACAAAGTTTACAAACTTCACTCATTGACTGTTTATAAAAAGCTCTGCACAAAACTTCCGGTAAACACAAACATGCCAATTGCTCTTTATGCTTCTCACAATAGAGGATGTGTGTTTAATTATAGTGACAAAGGTCAAATGCATCAGTCACCGTGGCTCATTTACACATCTGTTACCGACTGCTTGTTCAGGTTACAACCTCAGACCAGACGCACACACGGAGACTCCCGATCAATGCAGCCTTTAATAGCATGCATAACATCAGAGAAAACCAATCGCTTCAGTGAACCCGCACAAGCTGTTGCAAGGGAGCGAAATGGCTCGATGGACTTTGTCTAGATTGGTTTTAGATAACCATTAAAAATCACAGGCCAGGGGACTGTCGGCTGGATTTGCAGACGAGCCGACTCCTTGAAGAGCAGATATTAGATCCAGGAGAGATTCAGAGTGACTCAGCGGAGAGCACTACGTAATCCAAGACTGTCCACTGACCGCAGACATTCACGTCAAGAGGCAATAAATTATTTAACATGAGGGAGATTATTTCAGAACCGAACAGTTTTCTAAATCTCATAAAAGGCATATTTCCCTGCACCTTCATTATCATAACATTGCAATGCGAAAAGCAAAAGTATATCAACATTTGGGTTTTTAGACAGGCTTTTAATTCAAGTTGTTCTGTGACCTTGATTTCATCTATTGTGCAATATTTGAAGTTATGTTAAATGATTTAAGGCTTTTCTATTTTCAGTTTATTCCCTGTTTATTTGATACATTTTTATATGTACATATTTTGAGCCTGTTCAGTACTTTGGTTTAAACATGCTTTATAAAAAAAACTTGACTTGACTGAAGCACATGCTCCATCTGAAGAGAAGCACTAGCTTCAAGCGTCTCTCGTGCACGTCACTGCTGCTCATGTGAGTCCTGCTCCACTGTTCCCAGCTGTGGGACCTGATCAACATAAAATTCAAAAGCGCTGGTTTGCATATGCAAAAAGCACAAAAGCAAAGTTATGGCCCAGATTGCAGAGTGCATTACCTTGATGTGTAAGGTTTGATAAAGAGTGCAGGCTAGTGGCTGATGTACTAAACATGTTGTCTTTGCTGTTTTACGTGTGCATGTGATTAAAAATGACGTTGAGGAGACAACTTGTTCCCTGTCTGGTGCAGTTGTTTTGTTTATCATTATAAATGCATGAACGTCAGATGGATTGATAGTGTTGGTGTATTGTAAGTTTGACGTAATTTTTTCTTCTCCGTCTTCTCTTTCAGAATCTCTTACTGCACAGCAGATAAAACTCAGGACAAGGTCTTTGCGTACGTCTCTCAGTGTCAGTTCAATGAGACACTGGAGTGCCACGCGTTCCTCTGCCAAAAGAGGAAGATTGTAAGTGTGCAGGACTGTGACTTTCTTTACCTGTATATTTATCTGAATCTGTATTTCCCTGTAGTAAACTGTATATATCTGGTGGGTATTGAATGCATAGGTAAGCAGGTCAGGATTTCAGTTTAATTGGGGACTTTGAAAGTATTTGTAGTGAATTGCATTGGGCACAAGTGGCATGAATGTAGATGGCTCCATCTTGTGGCAGTCTCTGTAAGGCCAAGCTAGTCTGAATACTATTAAATCAATGTAATAGTTTCTAGACTAGCTTGAGGTGAGTTCTATAGAAATGCATTTTTTGTTATCAGTTAAAACTGATGCGATAAATATTTATATTATTTTGAATTAATGTAAAACTTTCTTAATGATCTTAGAAGAAGGATAGGAAATACATTTGAAGAAGTCAAATCCAGACCTCCTCCTGACCGCAAAAAAATGGAAAGACAGCTTTTCACTCTTTGTTTGTGTTGTTACTGTATTTTTCTCTTCCTCTTAGGCTCAGGCTGTGACATTAACAGTGGCCCAGGCCTTTAAAGTGGCTCTGGATCTTTGGGAGATTGCTCAGGAAGGTGAGTTCACTGAACAAAGGGAAAGTGACCTTGGGGTGAGTTCAGTGTTGCAGGAAAGAGTTTGAAAGTGATTTTTTTTTTTTTTTAAAGCAAGATATTTCAAACACTGCCCTCCTTTCTGTAACTTTCTGCACTGCCCTGTATACCTGCCACTACTGTACTTCATACATCTAAAGCTGCCTTTAATCATGACTGAATAAGAACCATATGTAAAAACATCCTATTGTTTTCTTTTGGTTTTATTTTTTTTTTAAATTAATTTCATGTCTACAGGCAAAAGCAAGAAGACCAGGGCCTGCTGCTCCTGTGCATCAAGCAACACACCGACAGAGACAACAGACAGTCAGTGTGTTCCCGCAGGTACGTGTGTTTTACTCCCTCCTCACCCCGAGTGTCATGGTTTATATCAGTAAAAGGCGGCACCATTGAGCCAAACACATTGTGTTGATAAATACTTCAAAACAACTGATGATGATCCATCTTACTCCTAAAGAAGTATTTTAACTTCTGCTTCCACTATAAGGAACATCAAGACACTTAACTTAATAACTAGTTCTCAGATTTCACTTTGAATCACAATATTGTTGATTTAATCACAGAATTTGATTGCTGTAAAAATGGACAACTGTAATGTGTTGCATTCAGTGAAGTGAGAAACTGAACTGATTAGATACAGAATTCCAGTATTTGAATCTTTGCAGGAGAAAATGGCTCCACACTTATTTTTCATTCTCCTAATCACTGTAAAGTAAAAGCTACTGTGGTCACTTGCTAATACAATGTACAATGTAGTGTGACCGCTCACACAAATTAAACTTCAATCACTCCTCACACACACACGTAGAAGAAATCGTCTAATTACTTGAGACTCATTAGTCATTCGGAGGAGCAGCAGTTTTTCAGCACTTTCCAATGGCCTTGACATTTATAGGTCAAAAATCTTTTCCACTCCTCGGGGGGCCAACGGTCTAATAAAAAAAAAAAGACTTGATCATCCATTCAGATTGTTGTTGGTTCAGTCCTGGCTCTGCAGCTCCTTTCAATTAAAATGTGCTCCACTCCCGGTGGTACTGGCCTGAGGACAGAGAGAAAATCTGATGTGAAGCCTTCAAGGAGTAACTCAGAGAGGCTAATGAAAGCTTTACAAATGTGATTTACTTTAAGTAAAGTGTGAGTGGTCTGCAGTTGTGTCAAAAATAACCTGACAAGTCTCCTCCTCTCTCTCCATTGTTCGCTGTTTTTTCTCTTTATCCTCCTGTCAACCTTTCGTCCGCACCTTCCTTCTCCGACGCACCCAGCTGCCCACAAGCCTGTCGGGATGGAGGAGAGACTCCGCTCTCGGCCTTTCTTCTCTGCCGCGCTCAGCTCGCTCTCACCTCGTAGTAACCCCACTCGAAGGCGACCGATCAAACATGACTCTTGGGTAGGTGAAAGCATCTGCCTCCGATCAGCTGATTTGTGTTGTCTGTAATTCACAAATTAAAATTTTAACTAACTCCCAAATTTTCATATCTCAGCTCACGAGATCTGCCACTGCCGATCACTGATCAAACACCAGCTCTCTCTTTTCTCTAAAGCCTGAGTCCATATAATAATGACACTTTATTTTCATCTCTATGTGTATTTTTTTAAAGAAAATCTAAGTGAAGACTTACATTCTAGATATTTGATTATAAAAAAACCTTAACAAATGTGTCACTGTATGTTTGTCATCTTTAACACAATCCCAGCATGTATCCAACAAAACAAACATCCGCGTTATTTTCATGATCTACACAGATTTGATGCTACTTATGTAAGTTTATGACAAAAATCAAAAGCAACAGTGAACTGAATGTTTTGCACAAGCTGGAAAAGGAAAGAAAGAAAAAGACCTCTATTAGCTTGTCATGTGTAACAATCAAATGAACAGCAGAATGTAAATCTATACAATAGTTCTCAAGAGGTTTGAAGACTCATTCATTTTCCATTTAATCAATATTATATTGGTACTGTATAAGTGAACAGTTAAATTCAGCCGTTAATAAATTAAAGTTCATGTTCACTTACACATGTTCAACACTAGATGGCAGCATGTTCATTAGAATAGTTTACTTACAGACTGAACTCACGTAGATAAATTCATCTGTGTTCAGAGTTGCATCAGTTTCCTGAAGGATTTACTCCTCATCGAGAGAAATTCGGTTTTAATCAAGTTTAACCGGATCGTTGATGTTCTGTTTGATTTGTCCTGCATCGAGTTAAATATGATATTTATCCTCTGAATTGCTTACATCTATTTGCAATGAAATAGAGAAACACAAGGTGAATTTAAACAGGTTGGATCTCATGTGTGCATGATTTTCCTTGTCTGGGATATCGGTGTATGAATATTGATTGTGTTGCAGTCACAGTGATTGTACGATCTAATCTTCTTACTGTCAGTCATGGAGTAATTTATGTGGCTTTTGAATAAGATGTGATAAAGTTAAGATGGACGATAGAGTCAGTGGAAATGCACCGGGCAGCGAGTTTGTAATTTGAAGTAATTGATGTGTGTATTGATTCATATTGTTTATGGCCCAACAGGATGTGGAGGATGGACTCGATGATGCGTTCTCAAGGTAACCTCTGCATATTACTACAAGGCTGCGCAACACTGGGGAACCACTATTCATTCAGTAATGAATTATAATTTTCCACAATTAACACTTAAAGGTCCAGTGTTTAGGGTTTTGGGGGAATATATCAAAATAAATATGATATAATAGTCATATTGCATTTATATGATATCTACACTGCTTATGCTTTAAGTTTTGTGGAGGGATCTGGAGCCAATCACAGCCGACGTGGGGCTAGAGATGACGTACGGCGTATCTCAGGGTCAACATACAGAGACAATTCACTCTCTTAATATTCATACTTATATTTATAATTTAGTAGTGTATAAATTACCCGTGACCAAACGCTGGCTCCGGAGAAGAGAAAGTTCAGAAGGGGAGGGTGAGGCGAAGGATATTCACTTAGTTGCATTTTGCAACTTTATGACTAAAGGACTGCTGTGACAGTGGCCGTTTCATCTTCTTATTCATGCATAATCACTTTCTGAAGTGGTTTGAATGAATTTATACTTTGTATTTAAAATACACTGCTCATTTCAAGTTGAAGGTTTTATTGTAGGTTTTTAAATTTCAGCTGCAGCAGAGAGAGCTCCGGTTGTGAGTTTTGATAGAGTGTAAACACAGCTATAGACCCTTTTCCCCACTACATTAACTTTTTACTGATATTGATAATACTAAAGGAGATTCTATATATCACCGTGCTGATTCATAATTGGCTTTATTGGCCAAGAAATTTGACTCTGATTTCACATTGCTCTCAGTGTACATGCCTAAAATGAAAGTGGGAGAATTTGCAATATGCATTTTCAATTAAACAAAAACATGTGATTGGGCTGTTGACATCGTGTTAAACAACAAGCCGAGTTAACTGTGGAAACCATGTGTAGCCAGCAAGCATCCCAAACTCTTGCAAAGGTCACTGTGCCACAAAGCCGACAATAGAAATGACTGCAGGGATGATCCGCCACCTCTGCTGACAGAGCCGAGCCAAGATGGGCGCTCCAGCATTGAGCCGGGATTACAATGCAACACCTTTTTATTTTCTTTGAAAGTGTGACAGTCTGTGAAATTGTTACTTCATGGCCGAGAGACGTCTGCAGAGACAATTTGAAATGTGGGTCTCACAGGTTAATTGTGAGTCAACAGAAGTCGTGCATGGATGAGCTCGTTCATACAGACCCCATGTGATGGACAGAAACCAAATTCTGCACCATAGACTGTATGTGAAAATGGAGGAAGTGAGAGCTGCCCTTAAATGAAACCAGAATGTCATGATGGTTGCTGGCTGGTCATAGTTATTTGAAGACCAAAAAAATGCAATGTTTGTATCCAGGATATTGTGGCTACAGTCTGTGTTCTAGACTGTTGCACATAGATGTGCATACAGAGATACAGCCTGATTCCGACACATGATATACTTCTCGCTAATAATATCTCATGCATTTGGTCACTCTGACAGACTCAACCTCTCTTTAACAACGTCCATCCATGCACCACAAACTGCTGAGGACATAGGACAAACAGTTCAGGGCCACACACACGCACACACGCACACACACACGCACAGGCTGTATGTGTCCTGCATTGCTGTATCATCATCATAAAGAGAGAAGAGCGGTGGAAAGAAACATTAAGTGTGTGTGTGTGTGTGTGTGTGTGTGTGTGTGTGTGTGTGTGTGGGAGGATGAGATCAGAGGAGGGAGACAGGTCATCAAAGGGGCTGCTCTCAGCAGGGACGGGGGGGAATGCTGACCACCAGCGTGGGTGACTGTCAAATGAAGGAAGGTGGAGCACTTGGAAATGTGACCTCCTGTTGATATTGGATTTTGGGAGTGCCTCAGCCGACCTCCGCTGCAGAAATTAGCAGGGCTGTCAGGCTCTGAAGTGTCGGCATGTGAGTGGTGGATGAGATCGGTCTTGAAACCTGGATTGCTCTGCACCACGTTGAGTTGTCACAACTGTCGCACCTATTTAAGGTTACATGTGCATTGAGTGAAGACCAGCAGAGCAGGGGTTGTGGTCTTGGATTTCAAAAATAGCCCAAATGCTTTAACTCCAGACACGTTGGGAAAACATGGTTGAGGGGGCTGCATGATTTGTGAAATGAAAAACAAAACACTCGTCATGAGCTCGTTCTCTGCTTCCCTTGTTGAAAGCATGTGAATCTAAAGATTGCTGTGGGTGTCAGTTGCTGTGTGAGCGGTGAACTTTAAACTACTTCCACTCCCCCTTGGGTTCCACCACCAGCCTATAGGAGTCCTTACCAGGGCTGTATATAGTGATACAACCAGCAGAATCATTTTTAATGAAGTGCATGAGCACAGGTCATGGTGTATGCTCGGTATAAAAATGAACAGAAGCTTTTTTCTTCAAGTGGAGCCTCTGTGCTTGCTGCCAGAATGATTGGTGACCACTATTGGCATTAACTTTGTTTCAAATGGGTTAATTAAATGGTTTGATTTGTATTTAAGATTTCTTATACGAGTGTTGACCTTAAAGTTGAAGTGTCTATTATGTAACCGCTCTCTTGGCTCCATCATAAACCGAAGATGCTTAAATAATTGAACCTCATCTAAATGGAGTGGAGAGTCCTCCTTTTGTGGTTTAAGCCTCTTTCAGTGTTTCTTTACTGTATGCATGGCGGGGCAGGGACAGCACTCGCGGCCATGCACGCACACTTCTTCTTAAAGGCTCCTCTGTGAACCGTTTCAGCAAAAGAGAGTTTTCGCTTATTTTAACCTTTGATTCGCCTCATCGTGGTTTTCTTCTTCTGTCCTCTGCCTGGCATGCAGCAACATGGAAGTAGAGATGGACACGGGTGAGTGATCAGTGAGTTCATGTTCATTTGCATGTTGCATGACGCCCTCCTGGATAGAGATATCATTAAATAACCAAAACCATCTAAATCTATACATTTGTGACTAAAAACCACATATTATGAGTCATTTACTCCACTCAATACATTTTTAATAAAAATGATCTCACTCTGAACCAACCAATCAGAAGCTAGATGGCTTAACTGTGCATTCACACACCCCTCAGAATTCCACAGGTTCTATTTCATGTTTGGAAGGGGAGGGGGAGGTGAGGAGTATTCAGCTGCAACGTGCAACTTCACCACTAGATGTCACTAAATTCTACGCACTGAACCTTTAAATCAAGCCACAGTTTTGTTCTTTCTTTGCTCAAGTTATCGTTTGGTTCTGATGGTTACTGTTGTTTATGTGAGAAACCTCATAGGTATTGTAATTCTCCACCTGCCTGATGCCACTCATGACTCGTCACATTGCACTCTGTGTTTATTCAATGTAAATCCATCATCCAACATGCAACAAAATCATCTGCTGCATTTTTTCTTTTTTACCTTTTCCAAAACACCGTGAACCTTTTTGAAAATAGTAAATATTTAATGCCTCTCTTGCAATCTCTTGTCTCTGTCAGACTGGCCGAGTCCCGCTCCGAACCCGTCTCTGACGATGCAGCTCTGAGTCCCCAGGACGTCTCCTCCTCATCTGTAGTTAATCTGCAACAATGAGTTTGTTCAAGAACTGCCCAATTTACACTGCAAGAAAATGAGACAGAAATCATATCACAGTCCCTGAGATAAAAACAAACAGCATACATCAACTGAACAGGCAGAAAATAAACCCGCTCCCTGGTGCATAACCAAAATCAGAGAGGCTGTGTTTGAAATTCAGAGGCTGCTGCAGAGGAGTCAGAACGAAGCCTGATATTATAAACTGCTATTTCTGTGAATACCACTCAACACACACTGTACCAATCATTGTTGGTATTCAAAAACTGCTACATGAACGACAAAAGGCGAGAAAAGTGAAATATTTCGACAAAAAAAATTCTCAGAAGATTATCTGACGGCCTTTCATTGTATCAAGTCTCCTCCTTTTTATTTAAAATGTGTAGAAACACTGTAGCACATGGATTCCACTTTTAAATCCCTGATGGAGATTGCACAAAGATTTACTTTACATAAAAAACCTGTGCATGTGTGTGCGTACGTGTGTGCGTGTGTGTCCATCCCTCTCTGGTTTGTCTGATGAGACTGGCAGCGGTTCCTCCTGCAGACCCTGATGAGATCCAGCATCTGAAAACATCATCAGAAGTTGGTACGAATGTTCTGTTGTGATGCTGAGAGAATTATTATTTGTCCTTGAGTGTGTTGAGCTGATTGAAGCACTCCTGTTGACAATGACACAGCATGTGATGTAGTAATTAGACATTCAGACGTGAAGACACGCTGTACCCATGTGTCATCTTCTTATTGATTGCAGCATAAATGCATTGAAATGAAAATCCCCGTCCACACTGGTAAATAATGAAATGTTCCTCACAGAGGCAGAAAGTTAATGTTGACAGAGTCGTACATAAAGTTTTTTTGGGCCAGAAACTCCTGAGCACAAGCAACTTAAACAGCATGAATAAATTATCCAATGACAAAATTTATCAGGCTCCAAAAATCCCAGATCCTACATTTCCCATAATCCTTATTTTTGTAAAATTGTGGTCTCCAAGTTCAAGTGGTGATAACATCACTATGACATCACTATGACATCATCAGGGTTATATCGTTAAACTTTGTCCGGAGCCACAACTGAAATCATACGCAAGATTTCCCAGGAGGCGTCAGGCTCATAGACTGTAAATGAAGATGGACGGCATGACAGCTCCCCAAAAGTGACGCCAAAGCATTTCCATCGCCCCCTGGTGGCTGGCTGTAAACTTTCCTGTTGTAGATAAATGAGTGATCAGGATTATTAATCCACTGACAATCTCTTGGTTTGTTCACTTTGTCAACAGGGTTGTAATATAAAGCAAACTCATATTCATCACTAAACACAGCAGCAGAAACATTGTCTCGCCTTCAGTTTAGCTGCCACAGCCTGTAAAGCTGCGATGATGACGACAGGTTGTAAAGACCACAGTATGACAAGGCCAGACATTTCAAATAAAGAAACCTATTTCCGTATGCTGTATTTTCTCAATGTCGGAGCTGTGTAACATATGTATGCATATTGTATGTATTGTAAAAGAAGTAGGATTTCACACAGGTTGTTGTTTTTAATGATAATTACCACTTGTTGATATGTGAATGTCTACACGCTTGTATGTTTTGATTTAGGTTAGACAATTTATACAAATCTAATTGTATGTGCTTTTTATTGCTGCAGGAATTTCTTTTATTTTTTCAAACTAGCCATTAATAACTCCTGAATTGGTAAGTAGATGCTGTTCACGTTTTTCCTCTGCGCCGTCGTCCCGATTCTTATTACAGACAGATTGCTGCTGTGCTTTGACTTTTGAAAATTATTTTTATCCACCACTTAGACGACGCTCTCTATGAAGAGCTCCCTCTCTCTGTATTCATCGGATCATGACTGAGAATAATTGTGACGGCGGGAGACAGTGGGGACTCGGTGTTGCTGTCATGACACCCGCTGCAGAATAAGTGGATGGCTTATCAGGTTATGCCATGAAACTTAATTGCATTGTTTCGTTCCTGGCTGGCTGAAACGCCAACTTTTTTTAAAGAAATCCTGCCCCGTATTGTTCGGGTATCATAAATAGCTCCTGGCATGTCTATGGTTGATCTATTGAGCCAAGTATGCATTTCAGTATTGACTTCATCTGTCTCTCCAACATCTTTCTTCTGAGTAGAAATTATGTTTTGCAATATTTCCTCATCCTTTCAGCTTTGTCATTGACTGACTGATTGATTCATGTGCGGATGCTTCACTGATTCAAGGCTCTTGGAGATGGGCTGTTGTCCAGAAGCTCTCACACTCATTGGTTTTCGATAATGACAACCAACAAACTGAACTGGACAATACGGCAAAATGATCTATAAGTTGCACTTTCATATATTACACTTACAGTAGAGCACATACCTCCACCAAGTCTGCTTAAATTCAATCAAGCTGCTCCAAATTGTACAAACTCATAGACATATGCCTGATTTTTGGCATCAAGATTTATTCCCTGGGTAAATGGTGAAAACCGCGTGGGAAATAATTCGGTTTTGCAGCCTTCATCACTGTTTATTTAACCGCACGGATAAAACTTTTGTTCCATGTAGCCAGTATCATGATGAGCGGCAAATTGTACACACTCATGGATATCAGTTCCATAAATGTGCCAATTATTTTTACATCAAAATCTATTGAAAACATGAAAATGCAAATTAAAAAAATCTGTCCCCTGATCCGGATCCACACTAAAATTAAATGGGTTCCTCCATTGGTCAAGCCCCACCCCTCCACTAAAATTTCAAATCAGTTGTGTTGTGGAAATGCTTTGAGTAGTTTTTGTGTAATGTTGCTTAGAAACCAACCAACAAACAAAGGAGCAGACAGAGATCCTTGGTGGAGGTACTAATTAGATTTTGCTGCCTGCACCACTTTTTATCCTTATTGAGAATCGAACACGCGCCTTGTACACATGATTTAATGGCACAGATCAAGCTTCTAATACTTCTAATACTTGCTCCATGTAGCCAGTACCATGACGATCTTTAGCTGAGAGCTTCCTGTGAGGGAGGAGGGGCACAGACCTGCACGTAGAGGTGTAAAATGCCAGTTTGAGTCCAGAGTCCACTGGATACAAATCACCCCGTGAGGGTCTGAGACACTGAAATCATTTGAGGCTGGTAAAAACAAACATGTTGAGTAGAGAAACTTCATATAAGCTATTATCAACCCAAGTTAACCACTGACGTTTACAGTATCGGTTTACGTTTCGAAGAAGGTGCTTATTTTCTATCTATGCAATTAGTGGGTTTCCAACCGTGTTGTAATACTATGATAGCAATTTGTGAATAAACCACAAGCAGTTGTCCTGAACTGTGTAAAGATTTGTACAGCATTTGGAAACTGTTCTGGTTTGTTACATATTTATGCATAATAAACAACTTTTTACAAACAATTCTTTGTGCTGAACTTTTGTTTTAGCGTCAGACAATGTGATGGAGCTGCGTCTTTCAGGAGAAAATCAAAAATCCTCCCAGACTTTCTGCTGATGTGTCCAGAAACATTTCAGTGCAGACATTAAATTAGATCTG